AAACACAATACTTCACAGAGAGCTTAATATTTGTGCTTTGAGATGCGGGTTCACGCGCTTCGGATGAGCGACCACACAGATCTTCTCACTGCGCGCGCGAGTTCACGTTTTCTGGCTCTTTAATATTTAAACTGGCAAGGCTTAAATGAGTTTAGTTTAAACACAGATAGCAACGTGTACTGTTCAGGTCTCACCTGCGCTATCAACAAGTGATGACGGCATAAATTACAGTTATTCCAGCATAAAGCACTTGAATTGATTAAAGAGTGACTGGTTTGTCCACGTATTGTTTTTTTTCTCTCTCATCGCTCTTGTTGTAATGTATTGGGAAAGCCAGAATTTGTATCCATCAACAGAAACATGCATTAGCCGAACTCTAACAAACCATATTACAGATGCATTGTCAGATTTAAGTTGAACCGCGGTCCTAGTGTATGCCGAACCTTGTGTGGAGAACGGTACAGTTCGATTTTTTTACCGAGAACTGTTGCACCCCTAGTGCGCTCACTGACTGAATTCTGCTCTCTGGCAAATTCGCTCATCAGAAGCAAAGTGCAGATGTGCGTACAATGTAAGTAAGAGACTCATTTCACAGCGTAAACAGCTTCAGTGATTATAATGAGAGTTTTTGAGAGTGCTTGAACTCTGGCTAGACAGAAGTCAATGATGTTCTTTGATAATGTAATTATTCTTTGCTCTCTTTCTGTACAATGAAAGTGTTATAATTAGTAATTTACAATGTTTAAAAGGTTTTGTGTGTAGTGAATAGATTACAGTGTACACTAACATTAGGCTACTTTGCCCATCACCCGCTATAGATCAACTACTATCATATATAAAGGAGTAAAATGCATTTACTTAGAACAATTGATGGCAAACTGATTTTTTTTTTTTTTACAGTTGCTTGTCATACACTGCAGTTGGCTCGTTAGTATAGCAGTATTACAATATTGCGGTCATCGCAACAGCCCTAGCACTAAATCATATTAGAAAACTATTATGAAGGATCATGTGAAACTGAAGTAATGGCTACTAAAAATTCAGCTTTACCATCACAGGAATACATTTTATGTTGAAATATACTAAAATAGAAACCATTTTTTATTGTAATAATTTCACGATAGTGCTAATTTTACTGTAATGTTGATCAAATAGATGTACACTTGGTGGGCATAAAAGACTCTTCAAAAACAAAATAATAAACATCTTACCAGCTCCAAACTTTTGATAGGTAGTGTAAACTAAATTTGAGCTACAGTAAATGACATTATGAACCATTTTACAGCAACATGCTTCACCCCTCACCTCGGATCTCCTTGGTGAACTTGACACGTTGTGAATCTGTAAGGGGCTTGGTCTGCTCGTTGATGTTCTGGATGTCCAGAACCTCACACATGAACTCAATGACAGGCTGGGCTCGGTAGAAGGCTGTAGCTGAAACTGCAGCGTGTGGAAAATAAAATTTAAATAGGCAGAGTTGGGCATATTCTCAAGATGCACATAGAAGGAAAAGATTTAGGAAGACAAAACATACCATCTATGTTGAGCATCATGTTCCACATTGCTGGACGGACAGACTGATGGAAACCAAACCAAACCTCCCTCCCTCCTCCCAGTGGGTGGTAATACCCCTCTGGTGGTGAGAAGAAGGAACGACCTACTGGAGTGTACCTGTATCAAAAGGCGCGAAAGATATCAGGCCAACCCCCCAAAAAAAAAAGTTTACACAACTCACGTGGGCAAATATGATTTCAGAGACTGTGGCTTACCGCATGGATGGCAGGTGACGAGTGATGACATCCAGAGCCTGTACAGAATCCTCCGGGACCTCATTCAAGTGACCAGACAGAGCTTCCAGGAGCATCTGCAGACTCACCACTGACACCCACTGCAGAGACACCTTGAAGGTCTGATCCTTCCCCTCACCTGGCAATGTCACCTCCAGATCCACCTGCATCACGTCAAGAACGCTTATATTTAAAAGGAGCTTTTCATCTCACAATAAGAAGTAAAACACAAGGATATTGTTATGTTTATTAAACATTTGGGAAAAACCAAATACTGCATTTGAGCATGCTTTGGTTACCCTGTCTCTCCCGATGGGTAGCGGATGTGCCGTATACATGTTCCTCTTGCCATCATAACCAGGCTGCCTGTCCCCAAAGATCTGCATCTTAAAATGTCTCACCATCGTATCCACCACCTCTCTATAGAATAAAACATCCCAAATTTACAATAATTTGAATACATTTCCACTGCTAGCTACATTTTCATGAATACATCCTCAACATAAATTAATACACACACACTACTGTTCAACAGTTTGGGGTCAGCACTTTTTTTTAGGTTAATGATAAAATAATGATTTTAATCAGCAGGGATGCGTGAAACTGATCAAAAATGTCCGCAAAGACATTCATAATGTTACAAAAGATTTCTATTTAAACTTTCTACTAAGAATCTTGAAAAAAAAAATTATCAGTTTCCACTAAAACATTAGGAAGCACAACTGTTTTCAAGATTGATAATAAGAAATGCTTCTTGAGCACAAAATCAGCATAATAGAATGATTTCTGAAGGATCATTTGAAAACTGGAGTAATGAAATTAAAAGCAAAATAAATATATGCAGCTTTGGTGAGCATAAGACTTCTATCAAAAAAAAAAACATTCCTTGCAATTCCAAGAGGGTCCTCGCACCATTGACCCCAAATTTTTGAATGGCAGTGTAAATAAAATCTGATCATCTGTACAATTTAGAATATAAAAATGGATATTAATTTATTTGAAAGAAATCTATATTTATCTGCTTGCACTCACCTGTTGACCCGGCGGGGTCGCTTTTCAGGCTTGATGTCAATGTCATAATGGTAGACGTCGATCTTGGGGATCTGCACCTGGAAGTGATTGGCCAGCAGGCGAATCGGCTTCCCCACCGTACCCAAGCCGGGCCGGCGTGGTGGTTGGAAGAGGGAGGTAGGGGCAGGCGGGCCTGGAAGAAACAAACAATCATTTTGTTTAGATGAAGCCAAAAGACTGAACCTTCATTTAACGTAGTAGTGGCTACTGACTGTGATCTCATCTGACATATACCATACACTGACGTGCCCTTTTCTTTCATGGAACAACACAATGCCTGGCTTTCAGATTGATTAACAAGGAAGAACAGAATGACAGAGATACAAACAACTTAAAGCGACATGACTTGACCCTTAACCCACAAACGGGGTAAAAAAAAAAAACTCAACAAAATAAGAAACAATAATAGCCAATCATTAATGGCCCGCCTCCATGCAGCCCCACGCAAGCTGTCATATGGGAAGGGGGGGGGGCATTGCAATCTGGGATGACGCTATCACAACCCACCAAATCATTTGCCTGCAAAAAACTTTGTTATAATAGTAAAACATGATGACCAATTGAAAGTTAGTCCTATTTAATCCAAATAGACACTGATAAGCAGGAATAGCTTCAAACTATGCAACAGACATTCACTTCCTTATTTTAAAATTTTCAATGTTTTTGGGGGGGATGGATGGCTATTGGGGCCCATCAGAGTGATATGATGGACCCTTTTGTCAAACCGCTGTGGTTTGCAGGGGTCTAAGCCCCTCACAGACCTACACGCTCCAGTTAGCAAGCAAAGCGCCAGGAAGAACAATCGTGAGCCTCTATAACCGCTCTCTCATCCCTTCCACATACTGTCTGCCTATGGCTCCCCCTACTCAATGCCAACAAAGCTCTCTGAACTACAGCATGAACACGGCTGGGGTGGAGATGGGGGAAAACCTGCATTCATCAAAAACCAAGAGGACTCTATATATAGGCCACTCAGCTGTTACACCTCACATCAAGATGGAGTGTCAGACACAATCGCTAAAAGTGGGCAGCTACTGCCTTCAGTCCGTAATCAGGGTCTCACTGCACTCATTATCAAGCCTGTGTTATCCTGATGCCTTCAATTGCATTAGGAGTAAAGTAATCCATGAACAAAGGTACTGGATTGCTTATTTGATCCAGAACATCTAACAACTGCCTGACCGTCTAGCAGTCATCTAAAGTATAAGGGTATGTTCAAAATGGAATACCATTTCAGCATCTACTAAATACTGTTAAGCATACACTATATACTATGTACAGGGTTTCTGCAGGTTTTGTGAGATTCATAAAACAAGATGCATTTACAAAATTACATTAGATAAGTCTTGTTTTGTGAACTGATGTGAAATCAATCAAAATGAAGTGAGTTTATGATTAAAACAAGAACAAATATCAGCCAGCTGGCTCAGAAAAAGAAGAGAAAACATTTCCATACCCCATTAACAGATGTTTATTCTGTTTTAAGCAGAAACTCACTTCATTTTAATTTATCAGAAAACAATACTTCGTGTTCAAAATGCATCTCAAGTAAATGTACCTTGATTTCAGGATAGATCATTTAGATATTTGTATTGGGGAAAAAATACTAAGGAAGATATAAAATTTTTTTTGCAGTGCATGCAACATTTAATGCCATGACTTCATAAATGTAAGACTTTCTACTCTGATTTAAGACCTTTTAAGGCCTCAGAAAGACCCACAGAAAACAGCATTGGTTTTTAATTCCATGTTGTTTAAAATGTCATAACACTTGGCAGTCCAAACAAATAATCAATCACAATGACACTTAAATATTTGAGCTGTAATTTCTTCTGGTTCATTCATCAAATAAAGCAGAAATTAAACCATTTAGACAAACATAAGTTATCTATGCATTTTATGCATATAGAAAATCTGAATATTGTGCAAAGGAATAGTACTATGAAACCCTAAACATGACAATTGTGACAAAAATCGAGAGGGCTTTAAATTAACATGGCACATTTTTTACTCCGCTGCATCGGGAATGTCAACAAGATGAACATGTAATCGATCCTTTAATTTGGCTATGAAAAAAGAAAATTCCAAACTGTATCCTGAATGCAGTATCTCTCTACTGGGGGCAACAGGCTAAAAGTGTCATGCTGTGAGCTAAATGGCATGAGAGGCTTAAACTGAAGGGCAGCTGGACTAAGTGATGACTCAGTAATGACATTGAGTCTCATGACACAGGCAGATCACCTGGATTACACAGCGGATGCTAGACATGACAAAGATATGCAGGATCCATGTTAACTACTTACTGAATCACACACTGCAGTCACAATCAATACATCCAGATCTGTAAGAGGCTGCAGTTACCCAAACACAAGAGCTGCTTGTACGGCTGTTGATCTTTCATATGCTTCCCCTTAATTTTAGATTACCAAATAATACTTATTAAAATTATAACGAAACTATGTAAGATTGCAACAACATCAAAAAGAACTGTGGTTTTCAACCCATTTTATTCCTTCAATGTGTCACATTTGGGTTTCATTTTTCATCAGGCATTGAATAGATGTTGAAATGCGGGCATTATTAGCATTATGGGAGTTCTGCTAAACATTGAAAAACAATGCAATGTTTGGCAGTTGTTTATTCAATTATTTTTTTATTAAAGATTCAATTTTTTCTATGAATTGTTCACAATAAGACCAGAAATGCTGATCCATTAAGGTCAATTTTGATTCCATGTTGACTTTTAAAATCTTGTTTTGTAGTAACAGATAAAAACAATGCTGATTTTGGCTGGCAGAGGACACGAGACTCTAACAGCCACAGAATGTCAACAAACACAAGCGTACAGAGCTTTATTGTGCCGGAGCTCAGAATTACACAACAGTTTAATATATTGCAATCAACATACTTTGTCATTCTTACAAACACTTTGATGGCAGATCTTTGGCATTGCCTGACCTCACAGCTGAAGAACAGAAGTTACATTTACAGAACATACATTCCCAAAACACACAGTCCTTTTCGCTTTTTAAAAAAGAATCTTTGTTACAACATGCACCCAATTAATTTCCTTATTAGAGCATGCTATCAAACAAAGTGCTAATTAAGAGTCATTTATAAGGCTTTCACATTTGTCCAATAAACAAACGTGATTATAGACAATACAGATTGAATAAAAATGAAAAAAGTTAATGAGCCAGAAAACCTGCAAGGTTAATGAAAAGCATCACTTGAGAGAAGCAGGACACATCAGATGTTTTCAAAAGCACTGATGCATTAAACGATATGAAAACAAATGCAGGGCAATTTGAAGAAGAAAGCGAACTAGCTCTCAAAAAAATGATACTGTACCAACATCGCTTAATTCTTATGCATGTCATGGTCTAAGATCATAATTAAGCCAATTTGTCAGAGGTCAGCGAGTTCATACTTATAGTGACAACAGCTAGTCGTTGGCTGTTCATGGAGTTATATACGTGACATTGGCGCTTAAAGTCCTGTCAACGGTTATCCTCTGGAATGGTCAGCATTTAGGCATAAACAAACGCACATGGGGGTCACACAAAGCGCCAACAATAAAAAAGAGAGAGGGGGGGGGATACATCCGCGCCCGTATCAACTACACCGCACGCGAGCGTTATATTTGCGTTTCAAGCTCGCGCAAAACATTCATAACGATATGTGCACACTTCGCTAACAAACCGTCTGGGTTAAAAAAAACATTAGAAAGGTGTTACTTTTCAAATAGAGGACGTGTTATTTAATATGCAGGCTGGTTCATGGCAGACGCGGAAGAAAGATGCGTGTGGTTAAATCCCCACCACCACACAATGCCGTCCTGTCTTCCGCACTGGGCTAGAACCATTTAACGCTAATTCAGTAATAAACATACACTTGTTGGCTTCCCAAAATCTCCTTCGCCGAGGCAGAGTACGATTATCAACACCTTTGTGTCGTTAGTACGGTTTTGACAAGCAGGCGTAGCGTGATAGGGGATTGTTTTCGTTTTTTTCCGTCGAGGCCTAAACAGCGCGCTACCGCGGGCCCTGGTGAGGCAGCGCAACGGCCCACACTACGCTGTCATACAGCTCGTTTTTTAGCACTTACCGGGTCCGAGCGCTTCCATGGCCGAGGGCTCTCGGGCCCATCAGAGTGATATGATGGACCCTTTTGTCAAACCGCTGTGGTTTGCAGGGGTCTAAGCCCCTCACAGACCTACACGCTCCAGTTAGCAAGCAAAGCGCCAGGAAGAACAATCGTGAGCCTCTATAACCGCTCTCTCATCCCTTCCACATACTGTCTGCCTATGGCTCCCCCTACTCAATGCCAACAAAGCTCTCTGAACTACAGCATGAACACGGCTGGGGTGGAGATGGGGGAAAACCTGCATTCATCAAAAACCAAGAGGACTCTATATATAGGCCACTCAGCTGTTACACCTCACATCAAGATGGAGTGTCAGACACAATCGCTAAAAGTGGGCAGCTACTGCCTTCAGTCCGTAATCAGGGTCTCACTGCACTCATTATCAAGCCTGTGTTATCCTGATGCCTTCAATTGCATTAGGAGTAAAGTAATCCATGAACAAAGGTACTGGATTGCTTATTTGATCCAGAACATCTAACAACTGCCTGACCGTCTAGCAGTCATCTAAAGTATAAGGGTATGTTCAAAATGGAATACCATTTCAGCATCTACTAAATACTGTTAAGCATACACTATATACTATGTACAGGGTTTCTGCAGGTTTTGTGAGATTCATAAAACAAGATGCATTTACAAAATTACATTAGATAAGTCTTGTTTTGTGAACTGATGTGAAATCAATCAAAATGAAGTGAGTTTATGATTAAAACAAGAACAAATATCAGCCAGCTGGCTCAGAAAAAGAAGAGAAAACATTTCCATACCCCATTAACAGATGTTTATTCTGTTTTAAGCAGAAACTCACTTCATTTTAATTTATCAGAAAACAATACTTCGTGTTCAAAATGCATCTCAAGTAAATGTACCTTGATTTCAGGATAGATCATTTAGATATTTGTATTGGGGAAAAAATACTAAGGAAGATATAAAAATTTTTTTGCAGTGCATGCAACATTTAATGCCATGACTTCATAAATGTAAGACTTTCTACTCTGATTTAAGACCTTTTAAGGCCTCAGAAAGACCCACAGAAAACAGCATTGGTTTTTAATTCCATGTTGTTTAAAATGTCATAACACTTGGCAGTCCAAACAAATAATCAATCACAATGACACTTAAATATTTGAGCTGTAATTTCTTCTGGTTCATTCATCAAATAAAGCAGAAATTAAACCATTTAGACAAACATAAGTTATCTATGCATTTTATGCATATAGAAAATCTGAATATTGTGCAAAGGAATAGTACTATGAAACCCTAAACATGACAATTGTGACAAAAATCGAGAGGGCTTTAAATTAACATGGCACATTTTTTACTCCGCTGCATCGGGAATGTCAACAAGATGAACATGTAATCGATCCTTTAATTTGGCTATGAAAAAAGAAAATTCCAAACTGTATCCTGAATGCAGTATCTCTCTACTGGGGGCAACAGGCTAAAAGTGTCATGCTGTGAGCTAAATGGCATGAGAGGCTTAAACTGAAGGGCAGCTGGACTAAGTGATGACTCAGTAATGACATTGAGTCTCATGACACAGGCAGATCACCTGGATTACACAGCGGATGCTAGACATGACAAAGATATGCAGGATCCATGTTAACTACTTACTGAATCACACACTGCAGTCACAATCAATACATCCAGATCTGTAAGAGGCTGCAGTTACCCAAACACAAGAGCTGCTTGTACGGCTGTTGATCTTTCATATGCTTCCCCTTAATTTTAGATTACCAAATAATACTTATTAAAATTATAACGAAACTATGTAAGATTGCAACAACATCAAAAAGAACTGTGGTTTTCAACCCATTTTATTCCTTCAATGTGTCACATTTGGGTTTCATTTTTCATCAGGCATTGAATAGATGTTGAAATGCGGGCATTATTAGCATTATGGGAGTTCTGCTAAACATTGAAAAACAATGCAATGTTTGGCAGTTGTTTATTCAATTATTTTTTTATTAAAGATTCAATTTTTTCTATGAATTGTTCACAATAAGACCAGAAATGCTGATCCATTAAGGTCAATTTTGATTCCATGTTGACTTTTAAAATCTTGTTTTGTAGTAACAGATAAAAACAATGCTGATTTTGGCTGGCAGAGGACACGAGACTCTAACAGCCACAGAATGTCAACAAACACAAGCGTACAGAGCTTTATTGTGCCGGAGCTCAGAATTACACAACAGTTTAATATATTGCAATCAACATACTTTGTCATTCTTACAAACACTTTGATGGCAGATCTTTGGCATTGCCTGACCTCACAGCTGAAGAACAGAAGTTACATTTACAGAACATACATTCCCAAAACACACAGTCCTTTTCGCTTTTTAAAAAAGAATCTTTGTTACAACATGCACCCAATTAATTTCCTTATTAGAGCATGCTATCAAACAAAGTGCTAATTAAGAGTCATTTATAAGGCTTTCACATTTGTCCAATAAACAAACGTGATTATAGACAATACAGATTGAATAAAAATGAAAAAAGTTAATGAGCCAGAAAACCTGCAAGGTTAATGAAAAGCATCACTTGAGAGAAGCAGGACACATCAGATGTTTTCAAAAGCACTGATGCATTAAACGATATGAAAACAAATGCAGGGCAATTTGAAGAAGAAAGCGAACTAGCTCTCAAAAAAATGATACTGTACCAACATCGCTTAATTCTCATGCATGTCATGGTCTAAGATCATAATTAAGCCAATTTGTCAGAGGTCAGCGAGTTCATACTTATAGTGACAACAGCTAGTCGTTGGCTGTTCATGGAGTTATATACGTGACATTGGCGCTTAAAGTCCTGTCAACGGTTATCCTCTGGAATGGTCAGCATTTAGGCATAAACAAACGCACATGGGGGTCACACAAAGCGCCAACAATAAAAAAGAGAGAGGGGGGGGGATACATCCGCGCCCGTATCAACTACACCGCACGCGAGCGTTATATTTGCGTTTCAAGCTCGCGCAAAACATTCATAACGATATGTGCACACTTCGCTAACAAACCGTCTGGGTTAAAAAAAACATTAGAAAGGTGTTACTTTTCAAATAGAGGACGTGTTATTTAATATGCAGGCTGGTTCATGGCAGACGCGGAAGAAAGATGCGTGTGGTTAAATCCCCACCACCACACAATGCCGTCCTGTCTTCCGCACTGGGCTAGAACCATTTAACGCTAATTCAGTAATAAACATACACTTGTTGGCTTCCCAAAATCTCCTTCGCCGAGGCAGAGTACGATTATCAACACCTTTGTGTCGTTAGTACGGTTTTGACAAGCAGGCGTAGCGTGATAGGGGATTGTTTTCGTTTTTTTCCGTCGAGGCCTAAACAGCGCGCTACCGCGGGCCCTGGTGAGGCAGCGCAACGGCCCACACTACGCTGTCATACAGCTCGTTTTTTAGCACTTACCGGGTCCGAGCGCTTCCATGGCCGAGGGCTCTCTCTCCGTCTCTGTCCCGGCCTGGCGGCTCCGTACCGACACTGAAATTGGGGGCGGTATCTCGAAGCTTAAGGTGGCTAATTTAAGAAATGGAAGGATGCGTAGACGTGCAGCGCTTGCCTGCGTTGTCTTCTGAGTGATTTAAAGCAGATCCATGGGATTTGTAAGTGCGCATGCGCGGGGTCGCGAAATTCGGTTGGTGGACGCGCACATTGACACACACAGGGAAAATTATAAAGGTTCGGGCGGTGAAGTACACGGATACACAGGCTAGCCAAGTTGCGTTTAGCAGTACATAATTAAATTTTAGCAACGGCTCATGGCACTGAAATTAATGCAGTTCAGTTGGCCATCTAAATCCAGGAAAAATCTGCTGCGTGCACACTCATTTCAGTTGTAAGTGCCATTTGACACGTGTATTGATTAATAACAAATCAGTTGTGGATGGTCAAAGGTTTAATCATTGACAAGCACTCAAAAGTTTGTGAATGTTTTTCTTTTTCTTTCTCTTTACGTGTTATCTTAACTAACAGTTTACATGAAGCATACTGAAAGTAGCTTAATATTTTATTATAGAAATATCCTGCCCCCATGTGGCAACTTGCCTTTTTGCTGGAACTCTGTTGTTGTCCATTTACAGTCAACATTGACCAATCCGACGCGTTATTGGTGTTTCAGCTCTGACCGTCCTGTCCAATCAGCACAGCCCAAAAGCGCCTAACAACCGTTCATCCAATAGCGATGCTCGAAAAGAATGACGGAGAAAGTTAAAGAAAAGCGCTCGAGCCCAGCGCGCGAAGGATGAAGTTCTATTCGTTTACCACCATCGGGCGGGAGATGGATGTATACATTTTGGCATTGTAAAAATAACGTTTACATTTAGATTTTATGACATTTTGGATAAAAAGACTGATTTTTTTACGTTTATACGGCTTTGAAGTGCCTGCATCGTGCGATTGATGTAGTTTCGTACCGAATAAAACTCAAGACACGACCTAAAGATGAGCTCTCTTCTGTCTGAGCGGGTAACGTATCAGAGCAAAATAACAATATATTACTTCCAAAATACATGTAAATGACTACATTTGTTGAACAAATACTAGTTGACAACTAATTCGCCCAACAGCTGATAAAGATTTTGAATGAATTCATCAGGTTATTTGTGTTTAGCTAACCAGCTTAGCTGTTCATCCTGTCTTTTGTCACGTAAGGCCAGAGGAATTGTGCACACTTTATTTGCTTTTTTTATCTTAATTGTTGCCAATGTCGAATTTCTTTTTATTATATTCTATGTAAGTTAGTGTTTACAGCAAAAGAAAGAATAATAAATACGGTGTAGGTTGCTTTCTAGTTATAATGTAACGTTAGTGCTCGTAAAAGGTATGTATATTTACATTCTCTTGTTTACAAAAGCACGCGATTTATCCAATTAAACTAGTTTTATTTTTGTAATGGAAGTCTGTCAGATTAGTATTAGCATGCATACCAAATGTAATATTTTATAGCCTGTAGATCTGGCTGAGGCGGGAACAGCTGAAAGTGATTCAGATAGTGGAATGGGCTCACCAGTGGAGGAGCCTGTGATTGACACCAACATGGTCATTGAAGACCAACAAGGTTAGTTGGATAAGATCTTTTTGGTAATGGTAGAAAAACAACTATTTGAGAATTTGATTCATTTATATTTGTTGATAAATGAGCAAAAGGAATGCTTTTGACATTTCTGAACAGTAACACCAAAATATATTGTGGGATGACAGATCCTTTTTCAACTATTGTGTTTCAGATTCAGATGAAGATATCACGGTTAGTCGGAAGGGCCGCTCTCGTAAGGCACTGCAGGACAGTGACAGTGATGGGGAGCAGGAAGAGGCTGGGATGGCAAATGCTCTGGTCCTGTCAGAGTCCAGCGATGAGGAGACAAAGACTAAGGAGCCTGAAAGCATCAAAAGGAAGCGAGGAAAACGAGTATCCCATATCTCAATGGACAGTGATGAGAGTGAGCCAGAGAAAGTGGAAGTCCAAGTCAAACCAAAAGAAGCAAAGAAGAGGGAGAAGTCACAGAGACACAAAGAAAAAGAGAAACGCAACGTTGCCCTTGTAAAACGACTGAAAGAAAAAACAGAGGTGGGTGCTTAGAACATTTAACAACTAGCCGTTTCAGAATTATTTGTTTTAATCTCTTTTGTTTACTTTTTTTTCCTTATTTTAAGGAGGCCCTTCCAATCAAAGCACTTAATGACAGTGGCTGTTTGCTCGGAGACTCTGATCTATTTGACGCCCAGTTAGAGGAAGACTCTGAACCACAATTGGAAGGTGAAGAGGAAGAGTCTTTAGATGCTATCCGATCAGCTGTGAAAAAGAAGGCCAAACAAAAAGTAAGCGCAGACTTTTGCTTTGACTGTCTGAAGTCACCACATGATTTAAATCGGTTATAGTTACTTTTTATTATTATTTATCTCTAGCCTCATCTGTCTGAGTTCAGTGGAGATGAGGAACAAGAGAACAGGTCACCACGCAAGGTGAGATTTTTTTACTATAGCGATACAGTCTCATTGATTGTGTTAATTGAGTATAATAAAATCACTGACTTGTTTTCAGGAGAGGAAAGCAGCAAAAGCCAGCAAGCAGGCACTCAAGGAGCTTCACAGTGAGAGTCAGAGACTTGTGAGAGGTCAGTCAGAAGTTACATCTGCTAGGCTCACTAAGTGCATTTACATGCACTTTAGGAGTTTGATTTCAGTTAGACTAAAACAATCAAGTGAATGCTGTTCTTTTAAACTTTCTATTCATGCATCACGGTTTCCACAACAATTTTAAACAGCACAACTGTTTTCAACATTGATAAGACTAAATGTTTCTTGAACACCACATCAGCATATTAAGTAGGGCTGCACGATAAATCGCATGCGATATTTACAACGGCTCTGTGTAGTTAATGCTGCTCAATGTGAAAGCACGCACGTGATGGAGATTTACCGCTGATTACAGAACCGGCTTTCTGACAAGATGCGCGTTAAATATCGCATGCGATTTATCGTGCAGCCCTAATATTAAGAATGATTTCTGAAGGATCATGTGACGCTGAAGAATAGAGTAAAGGGTTAGTTCACCCAGAAATGAAAATTCTGTCATTATTTACTCACCCTCATGTCGTTCCAAACCCATAAGACCTCCGTTAATCTTCAGAACACAAATTAAGATATTTTCGATGGAATCTGACAGCTCTCTGACCTCCATAGACAGCAAGGGTACTACCAAGATCAACTTCCAGAAACGTAGCAAGGAGCCAAAATATTACGAAGCTACGAGAATACTTTTTGTGCGCAAAAGAAAAAAAAAACGACTTTATTCAACTATTCGTCTCCTCCGCGTCACCCTAGTGCCATTTTGGAGAGCATCCACTGAACGCAAACAGGTTATGTTGTTCCATGTCAGCCGCACCACACGGATATGTTGTTTTCGTTCAAATCAAAGCACAAACAACGTAGAAAACGTAGCCGTGTGGCGCAGAATTGTTGAATAAAGTCGTTTTTTTCTTTTGCGCACATAATATTCTGATAGCTTCGTAATATTACGGTTGAACCCCTGATGTCACATGGATTATTTTACCGATCTCCTTGCTACGTCTCTGGACGTTGATTGTGGTAGTACCCTTGCTGTCTATGGGAGGGTCAGAGAGCTCTCAGATTCCTTCAAAAATATCTTAATTTGTGTTCTGAAGATGAACTGAGGTCTTACGGGTTTGGAACGACATGAGGGTGAGTAATTAATGACAGAATTTTCATTTTTGGGTGAACTATCCTTGTAATGACAGCTGAAAATTCAGCTTTGCCATCATGGGAATAAATGACAAAATATATTAAATAGAAAACTGTTGTTGTTTTTTTTGTAATAGTAGTTCACAATATTACACTCTTACTGTATTTTGGATCAAATAAATTTAGATTTTAATTTTAATTATTTTCATTTTTCATTTTCAAACTTAAAATCAGCAAGCTTTTATTTTGGCGGGTTGCCGGCAAGTAAGTATATGCGCTTCCGGGTTTAACGCTGCCGATTGTAGCGCGTCAGTGAATTAAATGTCACAGTTTTGCATTGTACTTTGAAAATGTTAGCGGGTAGCCTAGATTTATGCTTTCAGTTTGAATAGAAATCTTATACAGTACAGTTTGTCGATCTAAAATGGTAATTGTGCGTTAACAGCTGTCAACCATGTCGGTACGCAAACGCGCGCTCTGAACTAATTTACACAGCGCATTTCTTATTTTGGTCGCGCATGCGGACCAATTATGTGCACCCCTGTGTGTGTGTATATATATATATATACATATATATGGCAAATTCCAGCGTTACGGATGTGACATTCGCAGTCAAAACCTGAAATATAAATTCTCATAAATTGTATTCATTACCAATATATTGAACCATCTCTTTATATTTTTCAAAACCTCTTAAAAAAGAGTCCAGACATCAGAAAAGTTTCAGTCTATAAACCCGTTTTATATTTTAAATGAGGGAAATACACATGCGTTACGGATGTGACAAAAAAAAGACACGAGTTTCTGGGAGACAACATTTTGTAGAATTTCTGCTATTTACAATGTACAAACCAGAAGCAACAATATCTGCCGAATTGAGAAGGGTTGGCTATTTACAAAACCTAAAATATACATTTTGTTTAAATTTTCATTTTTGTGTTTCACAGGAAAAATCAATGTTACGGACGTGACCATTCTTAAAGCAGAATTTATCCGACTACGGAAATGCGTATAAAATGCTTTCAAAACTTTAATAGAGACGTCTAGTGGTTTAATAGGTCTGCCTATATAAATATAAATATAAAGGCACAATATGTAAGCTACCGCGCTGCTTTTTTCCCCCCCACATACGCACGATCGGAAGGAGCGGAAACGGTCGACTGTGGCATAATAAAAGATCCGCTGCTTTCGAGCCGTGTCGCGCTCGTTCAGCAGCCTCGTTTCTCTTCGACGGCTTCCAGCCTCACCCTGCTTCATTCTACTACGTTAATAAATCATTAGCTCATCCATGAACATGATTTCTGCCTGAGTCCAGTCGGATTGCATCGGCTGTGGAGATGAAGACGACAACTCCCATGATTCCACACTCAGTCACGGCGTCATCAAACTACG